TGGTGGCAGGCTTCTTCTTCCTTGTTCTCTGTTCCAGCCCACCGATGATGTCTACGTCAGATCTCACTTCTCCCCTGAGCCTTTCACCTGAGATCTTGCAAGATTTCACAAAATCTCACGACATCTCACCGTTTACCATCAAGATCTCCCTGAAAGGCACTGGTGACGTTGCCTACCCAGGGGGCAGCAGGAAGCCACTGGCTATGTCATCCCTGCCTAAGAAGACCAGGAAGTAGAATACACAAAGAGGTGCGTTCACAAAGGAATGTAATTACAGGGTCCTTATTCACAACCGCATACACCTGTGGATTTTAACTTATAGAGGGAAAAGGCCGCTTTAACAACTCCTGAGATAAGTTCCCAGGCATACAATGAGTGCATGGTTTCAAATGAGTGAGATCAAGCAGAGACTTGGGCTGAGATATTGTGTGAAGGAACAGTACAGCATAACCAGAGCAGGAAGCAGAACCTGCATATGTAAAAAGCTCATATAACTGCACACATATATGTATGTATATAGTTACAACCAGACATGGAAATAAGGTTTTAAAACAATACATATTCGTATAATGATTTACAGTGGGCTATTGTCATTTACATACACAGGAACGGTGCTTGACTATTTAATGCCCTAAGCAAAACCTCAATGTTTTTTAAGCTATTTTTTTTAGTGTTTTTTAAACGTGGCTAAACATATATTAAAGAAGAACTATGCCCAACAATTTATTGGTCTCCCAAAACAGGGTTAGGGCACGACAAGTGTCAAGGTTGTCAGTGGACTTATTTCAGCTCTCAACCAAACTTTTAAACCTCCAAATGGCTGGTGTCATAACTGATCACATTTCCAGCACCGTGGCAACTGCAATCCAAATCGAGGCCAAGATGGCACCTTCCTTGACTGTAAATATAGGAGGGTGTAGTTCTGCCTAAAAGTCAATTTCCACCTTTGTAAGTGATTTGCATTTATTGTGGTAATGAAGAGGTGCAGTGATGATGTGTACATGTGCAAAGTTTCATGACTCGCATTTTAGGCTTTCCTCGTTTTTTTAATGAACCTTTTATTAGGCCTTAAGCCTAAAAATTTAAAAAATGTCTCAAGAAAATCAGTCGGACACCAGGGTCAGATGGTATTTGGGCTTTAAATGGCTCTCAGAAAGCTCAGTGCTGGCATAAGTTTTTTGTTCTTTATTTAAATACCTCTGCAAATGTGGAAATGGGCTTTTAAGTGTCATAAAGATTGTATAAGAGAAAGCGGACTAAGATCACAGCAAAATACTGGCCTTCCTTACAGCAGTATAATCCAAATTCAATCACTTGTAGTTCTCCTGTCCTGGTAAGTCAGTGATGTTCCCCTTGGGCCTTAACCTTGTCGTTGAGGTCTGGCCTTAATAGTAAACCTAAACCTAAATTGGTGGAGAAGAGATGATGGCACATCCCCGCCCTGTCCTCTCCTCCTCTAATCACAAAATGTCTTGTAGTCTTAAAAAAAATAATACAAGCCATTTTGTGAATAAAGCATAGTAAAAAGGGACGAGTGATAAGACCAGAGCGCTGTACTGCTCAAGGCACATCTCTCCATCTCTCCCTCTCTTCAGTGCCCGAAAGCCCAGCATAATGTGTAGGAGCCGGCATACTGCAAGGTAAGAATTATATACTTTGCAGTAGTCCTCCGCTACAGCTTTTTTTTTACATCATTTTGCCCAGAGTGTGCCTTTGGGCTGGCCATGAACTGGTGGAATTTTGGCCTGACTAGTGATGTGCAGGGGGTGGGTGCGAATGAACCAAGGTTGCCCCAGTTTGCCCAAAACCCACCAGTTTCACTTTCACACCCCCTCCCGGGTCAAACAGTTGCGGTTGGGCCATTGCCCATCATGTAATTACATGTCACAAAGGGGAGGAGCATGCCCCTGCAAAAACTGATTTGACCGGAAGGGGGTGTGACAGTAAAAATTTTGCGCAGGCTTGGGTGAACTTGTATGAACATGGCTCACATCAAGCCCCCGCACATCACCACTGCTGCCCCGTTGGGACTCCCCGACTCGCTCAACAAGAGAAATAAAAATCTCAGCAGAACAGTGGCTGCAGTCAGTGTTCGGGTATTCTGCCAGTAGCACAACCACAGCTGATACAATAGCTATGCATTCCTCCCTCCATGCTGTTGGTCTGGATTGGGGAATTAAGAGGGTTTTTTTCTCTTTTGCAGAGATCTCAACATTCCCGGATATTCCGGGAGTCTCCCGCTATTAAATAACGGCTCCCCGACGCCCACAAGTGAAACATAGTATACCGGAAAGTAGGCATTCTGGCCCTTCAATTTTTAACACGAGTGGCTGCCTTTGACAGTGCTGGTCTAGCCGCACACCACCTTCTGCTCCTTCCCGAGACCAGCACTGCAAAGGACAGCATCCACACCGAACGTACAGCCCGGGAGCCCGGCCCGAGCACGACACATACCCTGGTGAGACCTGCACGCAGCCCTGGTGAAGCCACCTTCCTGAAATTAGTTTTTGCAGGTTTGGATGTCTGGATTTGGCCCCACAGGGCTGAATGAGGAACAAACTCAATTAGATGAATTTATCAAAACTGGAGCAGATGTAATCTGGAGTAGCTGTGCATGGCATCCAAGCAACTTCCATCTTTCATGTTCAAATCTTAACTGAACAAACAAGAGAGAAGCTGATTGGTAGCCATGGGCAACTGCCCATGTGTATGGCCAGCTTCAGCGTCCCCTAATGTCGGTGCGGTGACAACTTAACTGGGGTCAAAGAGTAGAGTGCACAGTGGCTCAGCATCAGGAAAATGTAGCCATGTACCTTCTCAATAGAGATTGCAGCCTTGAGATCTCAGAGAAGCCCAATCATTTCAACACATGATCTCTGGAGAAAAATCCTCTTATCTGTACTCTGTCAGCAGAGATGACATAACCACATAACTAGGTGTCTACTCATTTGATTGTCTGCCATAAGATTCCTTATTTAAAGAGAGTATGATAGTGATGGGTTTCTTTGTCATTATAGTTCTACTAGAGCTATAGTTATACTAGAGTATAAATTTGTGTTTTTTTTGTTTGTTTTTAGCTCCCTAGACAAACCATCTCTTAAAAGAGAACTATGGCAGACATCCCAACTCGCCAAGATGTTCCGGGAGTCTCCCGCTATAAGATAGCGGCTCCCGGACGCCAGGGAGATAAATATTTTCTCCCGGTAAGGTTTACTCTGCTCTATCTAGCAGAGTAAACCTTTCCCTGCTGTCTGTTTTTTTTTGTTTTTTGTTTTTTTTTACATCGGGGCCGTCGTCAGTCAGAGAAAAAGAAAAGAAAACAGCATAGGAATGAATAGCTAGGCTTCTATTGGCTATTTTAATTCCCAATAGCAGACTAGCTATTGCACCCGCCCACTGCTGCTGTCAATCAGCAGAGGTGGACCTGAAGTTTTACATCAGGTTGCCCTCTGCTGATTGACAGCAGCAGCAGTGGGTGGGTGCAATAGACAGCTTGGTATTGCAAATTGAAATAGCCAATAGCAATCTAGCTATTCATTCCTATGCTGTTTTTTTTTTATAATTCTGATGGCAGCAGGTTTCAGAATACAAAAAAAAAAATACCAGCAGAGAGCAAGGGAAGCATTAGCTTCTTTGCTATCTGCCATCGGGTGGGGCGGGACAGGGGGGCAGAGGGCTCCCCTTTTCAGGTTGGGATGCCTGATTATGGGGTAAGTGTTTTCCCCATAGTTCTCTTAAGGGTTAAGGGGAGGACATATACTAACCTCCTCCTGTGACCCAAAACTCCGTATATAGCGGACTATTGCCCACTATATACTAAGAGTGCCGCAGCTGGGACAGATGCACCCAATACTGTCCAGATCCACCCAGCTGGCTGATTGACAGCCTATCTAGAGGCGGAGCCAGCTGTACCCTCCCCCGTCTGTTCTTCCAGTGAGAGCTGGAGGATCGGGAGAGGGAAATAATCCCTGCTGGGAGCGGTGACTGACAGGGAGATGATCGGCAAGTGAGTGAGCGACGGTATGTGTTCACTCACTTCCCGATCTATAGAGTCGACGTGTGACAGTTTAATTGTCACAGGTGGGCTCTAACTA